ACTTGGAGGACCAGGGGACTTAGCAAGTAAGCCCGTAACTACCCTATTCGGGCTATAATAGCTATATGTGTGGCTACCGAGATGACTAGGTTGATGCGCCTTCTTGTAGCCGGGCAGAGCTTTGGTCTTGAAGTTGTTTTGCTGTGCAGCGCACAGCTGAGAACCAATGCCGTGCAGCATGTGCCCGACAACTCATGTAACCATGGTGTTTGCAACAGAAAAACCAACAAGATTAGGGTGGGTTTCAGGACTTTGAATCTGAATTCCAGTAGTGGCGATGGGGAGGCATATCGGAACTAAGGAGCACGTGTTTTGATATGGCCTCCAAGGTCCAAATGGACCGTTCATAGAAGTGGAAGGATCCAGGCTTTCAATGCTTTTAGGATTACGGTCAGGATGAAGCCGACGACTGGTCTTTCGCAGGTTTTAACATGGAAGGCGTGCTTCGCCCTTAAAAGCACATGTTTCAAGGGGCTGAAATCCGAGCTCCTAACTACCTGCCCGCAGAAGGTTCGGCACAATTACAAAAGCTTTCAAGTCTCGCCCCACCTCTTCCCCGAAGTCAGTTTACGGCTTAGGAAGCAAGGCAGTGCATGACGAAAGACCACGTGTTATTTAGAGTCGCCAGGACTCATGTACCTTTATTTCTTGGGGCCATCAGAATCAGAACACCGGACATGCCCGACAGCAGCAGCAGCATCACCGGTCGTCGTCGTCGTTGTCGTCGTCATAGTAGCAACGGCAGGGGCGGTGACCTTATGCACTCCTGTAGAACCCTGTCAAAACCTGCTTGATATCTTAGATTTCTGTCCTCTGCCCACACTACGAGGATCCTTCTGAGAGGTGAACCCAAACAGACTAATTACAACAGTAGCAGCAACAACGCTGACAACACTGTTGACATTCTAACAATAGCACCCGTAAAATTCACCTGAGTTTTTCATAGCTATGCTATTAACAACAGGAGCAGTAGGCGTCATAATAGTCGTAGTGGTGCTACTGCAACTAATGCAGCTGCAAATGCTACTGCTACCGCTACCGCTACCACTACTACTAACTACTACTACTAGTACTTGTAGTAGTATTACTACTACCACCACCACCACTGTAGATTTTACCCTGCCTCCGGATGTATTCCGATTGCCCTTAGCTGTATCTTTACGCTGCCGCTACCGCTCGAAGTCCCCAGTGACAAAAGTCTCCACAGGGTTGA